CATGGAAGACTCCCCCAACACACTCTTCCAACACTCCAACACAGAACACACACATGCATTGCCAGTATGGTGCTGAGCTATACCAGTGAACAGGAGACAAGATTTTTGAACATGATGCTTTCCCATCTGGTTCCTTTTTATTCTCACAGCCTTTACAGAAGACCTTCAAAAAGGCCTTTCTAAGTTTTTTTTTTTTTAATTTTTTGCTATATGGCACATATGTTTAGCAGAGAGAAATAGACAGGGGGCGGGGAAAGAGAGAAAGAGAGAGAGAGAAGGAAAGTGAAAAATCACTTCTAGAGGGTATTGTCATGCTGCAATCCTCTTTCCTCCATTTTCCTCTTGTGATTTTGGGAACACCCGCACATGCATGCTGTGTGTTTCTCAAGTCATTGGATCTAGGATCCAAACCACACAATCAGCCATGTGGGATCCAGCACCTTAACCACCACACAACCTGCTGCCCTCAAACTATTTGTATAGCACTTATGTAATGGTTAATTTTATGTGGCAACTTTCCTGGACTCAATGGTACCCAGATATTTGCTTCAACATTGTTCTATGTGTGGCTGTAAGTGTGTTTCTGGATGAAATTAACATTTGAATGAATCAACTGAGTAAAGCAGAATGCCCTACCCAATGTGAGTAGGTCTTACTCATTTCATCTGCAGAGAATTGAGTAAAACAAAAGACAGAATAAGGGAGAATTCATTCTGCCTGACTTTTTTTTTTTTCTTTTTTTCTTTTTTTGGAGAGGTTTTTGCTATAGGGTGCGTGCACTCACCAGATAGGCAGAGAGAGACAGAGAGATAGAAAGCGAGAAATCACCCCCCAGAGGGGAAGGCCACACCGCAATCCCTTCTCCTCCATTCTCCTCTCGGGATCTTGGGCACACACGCACACGCGCCCGTCATGAATTTAAGCCACCAGGTCCGGGACTCGAACCGCAGTCTACTACATGGGAGTCCAGCGACATAGCCATTACACTAACTGCTGGTCCCTCTGCCTGACTTTTTTTGAGCTGGGACACTATCTTCTTCTGTATCAGACAGGAACTATACCATCAGCTCACTCTCTTGGCTCCATAGCTTACAAAGGCAGATTGTGAGACTTCTCTGTAAGTAGGTAAACCAATTCTTTATAATAAATCTCTGCCTCTGTCTCATATCTATCAGTTGGTTAATTGATAGATAATGCCTCTTTTTGGTTCTGTTTCTCTGGAGAACCCTGAGTAATACAACTTAAGTTTTTCATTCATAATACTTGCCAAAAACTATAATTATATATTTGCTTGTTCACCATTTGCTTGTCCATAGCACCCTCGAGAATGTGAAATAAATTCCATGAAGGCAAATACCTTGTCTGTTTTGCTCGCCACTTTATACTTAACATCCAGTACACTGCCTGGGACATAAAAGTTCGATGTGTTAATTACATAAAGGAATAGATAAATAAAGTGAAAAATTATAAAATAGGTGTTTTCAGTATTAGGCTAATTAATTATTTCTTTGAACTTCAACTTTCTTATTGGCAAAATGAGGAAATTATGATTTTTATTATAGTCAACTTTGGCAATGCTGCGATAGTTTTTCTGGTTGTTTTTTGTTTGTTTTTGTTTCCTAGGTTTTTGCTATAGGGCATGTGTGTTCAACAGAGATTGAGAGAGGGAAATTGAAAAGTTACCCTTCAGGGGAGATGGATATGCCACAGTCTCTTTCCTCCATTCCCCTCTCAGGCTTTTAGGCATATACGCACATGTGCACTTCACAGAGAGATAGGGAGAGGAAGAAACTAATACCCAAAATGCGGTATGGTCATGCCACAATCCTGGCTCCTCTATTTCTCCATCCTGTTAGGATTTGGGGTATACACCTACATTTACCAGTGTGTTTTTCAAACCATAGGGCCAGAATTCGAACCATACAGTTGGCTACGTGAGATCTGGCTCCTTTAACCACTAGGCCACCGGACTGGCCCAACAGAATTTCACTTTCCAACCACACTTTTCTCCTGTATTTTTCCTATCATCTCAGACACAGAGGTGACTATGACTTCTGTTTTTTTCTTAGAGGAAACTTTGACTCAGAGGAGCTGCAACTTGCTCAGTATTTCCTGTCATTAGTGAACAAACAGAATCTCATCTTGCCACAAATTCCTTCTGTTTAATCAGAGTTGGAAGTCATAGTAAACAAGTGGATAATCATGTTTCTTGAAAGGAAGAGAATGATATCACAGTTTGATTAAAATGATTTTTTGTTTACCTATATAATAAAAAAGGACTCACAGCCAGATATTATTTCAGATTATTATGTATGTATACAGAATTCTAAATCAAAGTAGATATTCCTTTTTGCTAATTTTTAAAAATTCTGTCATTTAGATTATTACCTATTTGTAGAGAGGCCTGCAGTGCTATTTCAGAAATGGCAGATTTCAACGGCAGGAATTAGGCATTTCAGTAAAATACTATCTGTCCAAATTGCAATTATGTAGTTCTTCTCTCAGCCTTTTTCTATTGATTTGTCATTCACTGTATTTTGTGCTGCCAACATTTACCTTGCCTAAGGGAATAAATATAAGAAAACATACTGCCTTTGTTCTATGTTGCTGAGGCAATTAATTTGTGAGTACAACTAAGATTATCTTTTTGGATTAATGTTCAATAAAATTCATAGCTGAATTGTGCTCCATTTATAGCATAGGTACAACATGTTATTTTTACATGATTTGATTTTTAAACTTTTTTTTTCATTTGCTACAGGGCATGTGCACTCACTGGAAAGGATGCCACAATTCCTTCTCCTCCATGCCTCTTTTTGGGATTTAGAGCACACATGCATACATGCCCAGCATATATTTTAAGTGGCCGGGTCCAGGATTAAAACCACGCAGTCGGCCAGCTATCTTAACCGCCATGTCACTGACTGGCCCATTGATTCTTCAACTCTGAGTGTATGTTCCAATGAGAGGAAAATACATTCAAAGAACATTTTATTTGTTAACCAACTGCTTTTAATTAAATATTTCCCCCAAAAGTTCATGTGCTGGAATTTGTTGGTATTATGAGAGTGTTAAAAAGAAACTTAATCCAACTATGAAAGGTAGAGCTTTTGGGAAGAGATTACACTGGTGGCCCCAAGATTAACTCCTGGTTACTTTATATGGAGAGAAAGATCAGAACAAAGACATGGGTATAGATACATGCTCTGCTCAGGTTCTTCCCATGTGACCTGTGTGACCTTGGGGCCTAACCATCAAGAAGACTGTCATCAGCTGTAGCTGCTTGACCTGGAACCTCAAAACTGCGGGTTTAAAAAAACCTGTATTTTTCTTTTTAAGAGAGATTTTTTGGTATAGGGGACAGTGCTTGCTGGAGAAACAGACAGAAAGTGAGAAATCACCCCCCACCCCAGGGAAATAGCCACACCACAATCCCTTCTCCATTCTCCTCTCAATATTTTGGGGGCACACACACACACACACGTGCCCAGTGTGAGTTTCAAGCTGCCAGGTCCAGGACTCAAACCATGGTTGACTACATGGGAGTTCAGTGACATAACCTTTACACCATCTGCTTGTCCTCATCAACCTGTATTTTTAAATTACCCAGACTCAGGTATTTCTGTTACAAGCAACACAATGTACTAGAACACCAACGTGTCTTTCTCTCTCTCTCTCTCTCTCTCTCTCTATATATATATATATATATATATGGTTGGATTTAAGTGCTATACTGCTAACCTTGCACATGAAACATGGAATCATGAGCCAAGGAATGCAGGCTGCCTCAAAAAAACTGGAAGAAGGGGTATAGAGTCTCAACTAGAACCTCAGAAGGAAAGTAGCCCTGCCTAACAAATTGATCTTAGTGCACTGGAGCCCATTTCACACTCCTGACCTCTAGAGCTATGAGATAATAAACTTATGTTGTTTTAAGTCACAAAATCTGACAGCAATGTCTCAGTCTGTTGGACTGCTATAACAAAATAATCATAAACTAGGTTTTATTTCTCACAGGCTGGAGAATAGCAAGTCCAAGGTCAAGACACCGACAGATTCAGTTATCCGATGAGGGCTTTCTTTCTAGTTCATAGATTGTGACTTCTCGCTGTGTCCTCAAACATGGAAAAGATAAGGCAGCTCTCTGAGGCCTCTTTCATAAGGACACTAATAAAAGGCACTTTGTCTTCTTCACTGAATCACCTCCCAAAGCTCCATCCAGCCCCAATACCATCTGTGAATTTTGAAAACACAATCATTTTTTTTTTCAGAATCAAAATTTTAAAATTTTGTGATTTGAAGGGAGTGTAATAACCTTAAAATGTTTTCATGAGTTTCTTTGTGGGCTTTATTTTTATGCTTATCTTTGTTTATAGCTTCTGGAAAACTGAACTCTTCATCTTGTAATTACTATGGCTATCCTCATTCTTCTGCAGACTTTATCCCTGCATGGAACTCAACCTATTTCCTTGATTTCTCCCTCCACGTAATCAAAGCCAGATGAAACCTCTTATTGGTCCTGTAAGTCCTTGTAAGCCTTTACCTCTTTTTCTTACGCCCAGCGTGAGTTTTAAGCCACCGGGTCCGGGATGCGAACCACCGTCGACTACGTGTGAGTCCAGCGACATAACCATTACGCTAACTGCTGGTTCCCATTGACAAATTAACTAAAGCAGTAAAGCAGGGGTTGTATGCATCATACAGTTGGACACTTCCACCCACCCACCCCTGAGCATCTGCCACCATACTTATTCTCTTGTGGCTTCATTCATCTCTTGATTCTCTCCAAAGCTCAGTTCCCTCATTTCACTTTGTAGAGGAAGTTTATTCTTCACTCCCTGCTAAGCTCAGAGCTTGTATTTACACAGTCGGTGTCATTAATACCTTTGATAAAGGGAAAAAAACCCTATATATGTATAGTTGTTTTATTTCTTTAGTAAGTTAGTAATACTATCAAGAACTTTCAAATTTTGGTCTTCTTTCTCTCCCCCTTTGTACAGGTAGAGCAGATGAACTATAAATTCATGTTGACATAGGTAAGAATTTTAGCCACTAATATTTTAAAATTAAGACATGGGATCCTCAGGTGACACAAAGATCCTCTCCTAATTAAAGGATAATGGCTATAGTTTATATAGCTTAAGCTCATTTATATGAATATATTTGCTTTTTCATGTCATCTTTAGTGACAGACTATTGTGAAAAAATATTAAAACCAAAAGTTAAAAAATGTCTACTTTTTTTAGGCTGTATTGTTTGTGGGGTTTACTTATTTTCTGAATCCTTTTTTATTCATGACTATTTTAAATTAATGGTAATATTATATTTTTCTAATTTTTTAAATTAAAAATTGGTAGAAAATATATTTTCAGCTACCAGTAAAATTTAACTTCATTGCATACTGAACATACTATTTTATAATCCATGACAAGTTATTCAAGAATTTGTATATTTACTTTTATTTATGTTATATTGATTAGCAGTTTCACAGGTCTTTGTTATTATATTTTGAGAGTCTCTACAAATTTTTACTATTGTGAATAAAGCATAGAAAAACTACTTGCTTAAATATAAATTCATAATAGAATAGAGAAGGTGGGAAACAGAGGGGAAAAAAAACCTTAAAAATGCGAAGAAAATAGTCAAGCTTGAACAAATTGCTTTTGACCGTTTAAGTGAGCATCATTACGTAAGGGGTTAAACCAAAGAGGATGAAAGATCAAGTTGGTTATTGAGACAAGAATACCTAGAATTGAGATGTTACAAAAGGAAAATGGTTTAAATGAGTTGAAAAGAAGAGAAAGCACAAGAAGCACAATGGAAATTTGAAACTACAAGCTGCAGAGCCTGTTTTAACTGGTTACATTCTTGATGTTGCAGCAAAAATAAATGAGTAGCTTTCAGGAGAATATATTTCCCCATTCCGAAAGCCACAGCTTGCTATTTTTTGCACATTGCCACAAAAGATAAATCCCAGTTAAGACTGTTGGGATCTAACTTGTTTCTTGGAGTTTAGAGATAGTTCATATAGGACAGATATAGTAAGATGTGTGTGAAAATTTGAATAGGACAGGATAATGGTTCCTAGGTAGTGAAAGGAAAAAGAGAAAACAGTATTCTTTTTTCTTATTCAGAAACTAACATAGAAAGTGGGATTGTTTTCTTTGCATTTCAATTTTGATTGGGATGCAAAAGCTAAAACAAATTTTTATGTAGTCTAAAGTCTGACAATAAAAACATCAAAGGAATTTAAAACAAGACATGCAAAAACAGTTCATTTTACTTTCTTAGACAAGTAAGGTGATTGGACAAGATTAGAGGGGGCACTTGCATTCCTCCATGCCCCCATCCAAACTGCTAGAGAACAACTATAATGTGTGTTCTCTGGAGTTTGTAGAAGTGACAGGTGTTACTTTGCCTTGATAAGTTAGAACGTGGGAAGCTGGATGGAACCGCCTGGGGGTGGGGGGCGATTGAGAAAGGGCTGTGGCAAGCTTTGCACTTTCAGGGAGAGGGCAAAAGTGCTGAGAGATTCTAATGGGACAGAAGGAAGTTGTGAGGCCTAAATTAGGTTCAAAGTGATCCCTCCAAGGGGACAGCCTGCAAGATAACACAGTCCCCCCAAAAGAAGCGTGATTCTGAGACATACATGGTCAATGGCTGAGAGGACAGTCTAAGGAGCTCAGCATGTGTTTGCAGTGCGTCTCTAAGTGAAGTTCAGAGAGGAGACCTGAACAACGCAGAGAGTCAGATTTAAAATTAAACTCTTTTTTCCCTCTTTTGAAATTTATTTATTTCTTACATAAGCAAGATATACAGACTGAGAGAGAAAGGGAGGGAGAGAAGGGTGAGAGAGAGCAAGTCCCCCTCCCCCCCCCAACAGTGCCTTGATGCTGCAATTTACTCCCAGCCTTTGGCCAGCCCCAGATCGCCGGCAGCCATGTGCCTGGCATACTCAGAGATGCCTCCAGACTTGATCAGGGAACATTCCGATGTGGGATTGCCTCGCAGGACATTGTATTTTATCACTGCACTGTGGCCTGGCCCCTAAGGTCATAGTCTTTATTTGCCCTCTTCACTCCTTCCCTCTCCTCTCTCACTCTAGTTCAACTCTAAAGGAGACAGAGGCCAGACAGGGAGTGCAAAGGAGGCAAGGATGCGTAGATAGAAATATTATAGGACTGAAGAGCTCGTCCATCTTCATCTTCTCCATATCAGGTTTACGAGCCACATTCAATCTTAAGCATTAAATCAATAGAGGTATTAAAACTTCATTAGCATTCTAAACTAGGCTTTTATGAATGCCAAAGAAAAAAAGGAGTGTTCATCTCTGAGAGCAGATTTGATTTCCATTTGGTTTGTGCAAGTATAACATACTGCTTATTAAAAATAATAATAATAATAAAGAAATCTTCTATACTGACTGAAGAGTCCTGTATTACCCTAGTCACACCAGAGTCTTCCCAAGATACTCTGGACACACCCTACCCCGACGACCAGGGGTTTTCCAGAGTTGGTTCTGACTGGTCAGTGCCCATGTTGAACATGTTTTTAAACATTTGAATATTACCTAGGGCAGGAAGAGTCCAGCAAAGCTAAGATAAGAACAACCAGAAAGATATTTATCTTGCCATAAAGATATTTATCTTGCTAATTGAATGACAATAAACTCAGCTCATTTAAAAAAAAATGTTTTTAGTAGGAAATATATATATATATATGTTTATATATATGTAAACATTATTGATTCTAGGTTATTTCATGCTTTCAGGCATTAGACACTGTATTTCTTATTCTTTGAGAGTTTTATAGATGAGGAAACTGAGGCTCAGGAAAGTGATACTGTATTTCTTATTCTTTGAGAATAAGAAATTCTATTCATGATAGATGAGGAAACTGAGGCTCAGGAAAGTGAATTTTCTCAGTTAAAACACTGATGTACCTTCAGTGGACATTCCTTAACTTCACGAATATTCTAATTTAGTCACCTGTACCTTCTCTTCCATCTTTTTTTTTTTTTTTAATATAATGACGGTTTTTTCTTCAGTTTGCTTTCATTCACAATAACAGAGATACAGGCAAAGTTTTTTTGTTTGTTTTCTCCCCCCACCCCAATTAGTTTTAAGTGGACATGTATCGAAAAGAAATACTAGACAATCTGATGTGAAAGGCAGGAGACAAATTTTTCTCCTTTCTAAATTTTGATTTTTTCAAAGTGACCTTCTTAGGGATGCTTTTATTTTATCTCCCAATGATCTGTTTCTTACGGAGAATAACAAAGATGAGAAAAACTACATTTATAAATTCTTTTTCTTTTATTCATGACTTGTCTTTTGCACACCTGAGAGACAGAGAGAAAAGAAAGAGAGAGAGAGAGAAAGAGAGAGAGAGGAAGGAACAACCTCTGTAGAGTCTTGCTCATGCCATGTTCCCTTCCTCCAATCTTCCAGCCCATCTGATTTTGGGCACTCGTTTTCTTCCTCGTGTGTTTTAGGCTGACTTTGCTGGAGATTTGATCCTCATTCGCCATGTGGCATCCTGTTCTTATGGAGTGTGTGTTACTACTGTGTCATAGAGCTGACCCAAGAATAAGTACATTTTAACAACTACATCATGATTCTCAGCAAGTCTCAATGTAAATATAAAGTATGTATAGTAGAGTAAATATTGTGTGTGTGTGTATGATAATTATCATAGTTATGTCTTTTCATTATTTTTTATCTTTTTTAAGAGGCTTTTGCTTTAGGCTGTGCTTGCTCACTGGAGAGAGAGGGACAGAGACAGCGAGAAAGTGAAAAAAATCACCCTCCGGGAGGATGGTCACACCTCATCTCTTCTTTCCACTCTCCTCCCAGGATCTTGGGCACACGTGCATACATGCCCCACATGAGTTTTAAGCCAGTGAGACTCAAACTGTGGTCAACCATGTGGGAGTCCGATGACATGACTGCTACACCATCTGCTGGCCCCTATGTCTGTTCACTCTTGATTCTCCTTAGAAAATGTTTTCAAGTTCCCATTTTCAGCTATTTCCCGTTGTGCAGAATGTTTAAAGTATTTTTTTTTTCTTTGTGTACTACCATCTGCTAAGAATTCAGTTAGGGACAGCAGGTGGCATAGTGGTTAAGATGCTGGACCCCCACATGGTTGATTATGGTTTGAGTCCTGGACCTAGTGGTTTAAAAATCACCCTGGGCACATGTGTGTACATGCCCAAAATTCCAAGAGGAAAATGGAGAAGGGATTATAGTGTGGCCATCCACCGCCCCCCGCCCCCAGTGGGATGGAGGGGTAATTTCTCACTTTCCATCTTTCTGTTTCTATCCATCAAACCACATGCCCTATGGCAAAAAACTTTAAAAAAAAAAGAGCAACAATTCAGTTAAATTATAATTCTTATTGTTGATTCACAAAGTAAACATATTTAAAAATAATAATTGAATAAGCAAATAAGCAGTCTGGGTACAACGTATGTTACATAGATTTCATTTGTTCTTGCTGGATACAAAATCCTATCATCTGAAGGTCAAAAAGCACATATGGAAGGTACAAATACCAAGAACAAAGCTGGCCAGTTGAAAATTAAAGCCAACAGAATGCCCAGTATGACATTTTAGATGTTAAATGGAATACAATTCATTTCAGATTGGATGGCTATTGTCAATCCAGATCACTGTTTGATCTGCAATTTATATTGAGATGAAGCAGAAAGAATTTTCTGCCTCAGCTTCTTGGCTTTTAGCACAATATTTCACAGATGTCTGACCTTTGGGTTTTAATGTGATAATGCGGCTTCCCCTGAACAAAGGCCTAAAAGCTGACTGTCAAAACAGAAGTTGTTTTTCGAAGGATAATGATCCCAAGTTGTGTAGAAAAGAGATACCAGGCATGCTTTAAAATGCCTGGACTTACCACATATAGATGTTCTCAGGGATATTTCAAGAAATGTAGTTAAATATAAAAGATAGGGTATGTTAAAGTGGCATTATTTTTTTAAGTAAAAAAATTGCTAGAGTTGATATGTGTTCACCAGAGAGAGACAGAGAAAAAGAGAGAGAGAGAGAGAAAGAAACAGGAAGAGCAAGAAAGCAATGCCCATGGAGGATGGTCATGCCTCAATCCCTTCTCCATTTCTCCCTCCTTTTGTGTTTTGGGCATGTATACCCATGTACCTGGTGTGTTTTTCAAGCAGCCAGGTCCAGGTCTTGAACAACATGGTTGTCTCTGTGGGATCCAGCTGCCTCAACTATCACACCATGGAGCTAGCCCTATTTTTTTACATTAGTCCATTGAAAAGAATGTTTTATTTGTCTTGGAAGATACATATATTCTGCATGAAATTGTCAGTTTTTCTTGAAGTTTGATTGTATACATTGCTGTCACATGGGATCATGGCTGCTTCTATTGTAATAAGCCACACTTATTTGCACATTAAATTGTTACTAGTTATTGTTTGCAAACTCACCACATCCTGTAACTCTCTACTACAAGCTCAGCCCCTCCTTGGTATCTTTCTTAGCCTTTTCCTTGTATGTTTCCAAGTCTATGACAATAAGACAATGGAAAAGTTATTTCCTATAAGGTTGACAGCTTTTTCTCAATTGGAATTATCGATATCCTCATTTATGAGAGACAGGATTTGGAGTATCTTTAAAACCTAAATAGATATTTACTATTGGTAAAGACATTTTTGAATACTCATGGCATTTGCTTTTTTCTTTTCTTTTTTAAACCTAAATAGATTTTTACTATTGGTAAAGACGTTTTTGAATACTCATGGCATTTACTTTTTTCTTTTCTTTCTTTTTTTTTTTTTACGTTGAATCACTGTATATCTCTACAGCATACAAAATAAATTTTTCCAGCATGAATATACTGTATATTAGTCCAGTCAGACATATTACCCTACAAATTATCATCAGCAGATAATTGTACATTTTGTGTCACTTAAATGTGTTGCCGCTTCTTTTTCTCCCTTGATTCTTTCCCTCCCACCCCAATTCCCATTTCCCACCGTCCTCTCACACTGCCTCTAGTATCCATGGAATTATTTTTAGAGTGTGGTTGAATTATCTATTTTTTCTCTCTACAAAATTACTTTTTTAGGAACCAGCAGTTAGCATAATGGCTATGTCACTGGACTCCCATGTAATCAACCGCGGTTCGCGTCCTGGACCCAGTGGCTTAAAA